GTTGATGTACTTGTCACGCTCAACTGTCTTTGAAGTGCGTTTAGCAAAGAGTGTATACAATTTTTAGTTTTCTCTCTCACGTTCACCAAAACAAAACTCATTATGCAAATTTTAGTATTCTTTTTTCTAAAAAAACAACCAGTAAAAAATAACATTAAATAAATTTAAAAAAAAATAAACGAAAATTTTGGTAAAAAAATAAATTTTCTAAAAAAACAATTTTTTTAAAAAGAATTAATTTCAATTGAATTTATTTATAATTTAGTAGAATATATTTTAAATTCAATTTTAATTCGAATTATAGTTTCACTCATAAATTATATATGAATTAAAAAGAGTGTGTTAAAATATTTTTTATCACAAAAATCGATTAAAAATATAGAGTAAAATTACAAAATTTAAAATTAATTAAATAAATTAAAGAAAGTAAAACTCTAATGAGTGGGTAAATTTTTTGCTAACGTTTTGAATGGTGAGACGTAGACATTGAAATTCGTTGAGTGCAGAGCGCAGCTCGAAAATTAATTTTCTAAGAATATTTTGTAAAGAGTGTACATGTAATTGTGTGGGACTAACAAATTTATAACGAGTCCGTGTGTGAATTGGAATATCGGTGTCAAATTACTTGATTAGCGCATATAAAATTTGTCCAAATAGAAATAATTATTTACCAATTATTACAAGGAGTAAACTCCGCGATTTTTTTCTTTTTCTTTTTCTAATGTACAACAATAATTCAGTCTAATGTATTTCAAAGCACCAATCGTAACTTGCCGATTTTTGTCTCTCATTCTCTCTCAATCACTTCATAATTTTCTTTTAATAAACAAATTTACATTTATCCCGGAATTTTCCCTTTTTGCTAAAAAATAAAAATTTTTTCTAGAAAATTTTACAAATATTCTTTTTTTTAGAAATAATTTTGCTTTTAATGGAAAATATTCCGGAGATATATTGCCTACAAGCAATCGGCCAATTTTTCCTAATCTTTGATTTCGTTCATTAATTAATTACGCACGAAACACGCACCACTCTTTTAAGAATTAATTTCGAGTGAATTATAAAACTCGATATTTAAAAAAAGCTGCTTGTGTTTCGTGTTTCCCTCCCAAAAAGAAAATTTCAATTTCCTAATTTTGATTTGATAATTTCCAATAAATTTTGTTTTTACAATGAAAATCGCAAATCATTTATCGCTAGTGAATTTTTTTTTGTATGTTTGTGTATTTTTGCGCGTGTGTACAAGTACAGGAGTAAATTTAGTAATTAGTCGACAGAACAGAACCGATGACGGCAGGTCTCTTTTTTTATTTTTTCTATTTAAAATTTCAAAACGAGTGAATTCTTAAAATTGCTGAAAATTTAGAAATCAGTTTCATTTTTTATTTTCTTCAATTTTCTCAAATATTGAAAAGGAAAATCTACCATTTTCTACTTTAATACAATTTTCCGTTTTTTTAAGAAACAGATTTGAAAATTTTCAAAGCAATTATTTTTTGTGAAGAAAAATTGCTTAATCTCGAATGGGAGAAATAAGACGGAAATACAGACGGACCGACAGACAGTCGAACGACAGATCGATTTTTACGATTCGCGTATTAATGTCGGTACATAATGTAGAGTATTATTTAACAATATAATAAGTTTCATTAAGAGAATCAAAAATAAAAAATTAATAATATTAATAATGAAGCCACAGAGACTTGAACTCTCTACGCTTGGCAGTATTATGAACAATCGGCCTATATGAAAGGCCGCGAAAAACGACAATCACTTTGTTTTTTTACTAAGAAAATAAAACCGACGTCAATATAGATAACGCCCTTGGCAGTGATCGTAGAAGTGCATATTTTTCTTTACTTCACTTGTTTTTTTTTAAATAATTATTTTGAATAATGCATTTTATTCGTTTGCTTATTGATCTCGTCACGTTTCACAATCTTTTCTTTTAAATTAATATCACGTGTTAATGAACAGCCGAGAGTTTTTCTTTCCCGTAAATTCATTTCTATTAAAACAATACTGAAATATTTAAATTTTTCACAATTCGATGTACTTATTTTACATTTCGTTCATTTATTTATTGCTCGAATAGTTTTTTTCGATCTTTACATATAAAGAAATTGAATTTACAGTTCGGAATTCTCAAAGAATTACATATTTTTCAAGTATTTTCATTGTTTTTTTTTCAAATCGTCCCGAGAAACAACGAATAAATGCTCGAGTAAAATAAATAAAATGCTTCTGTAGACCTGCCGTCGATGGCTGTAATATGAAAACTCGGAGAAGATTTCTTTATTTTTGGAAAAAGGAACGACTTCTTGAATTCTAGATTGAAATCGTCTCTTTTCGATTTAGAGATAAAACACAACTGAAGAGGAAGATTAAAATCCTCGACTCTTACACGCTTGTCCAAAAATAATTTTCTTTTGGACAATTTTACCTAACTACGCATTTTTATATTGCACAATATCATAATACCGTTTCGAATATTAATTTTTCGATAAAATTTGAAAAAAAAATTTTTTTTCACTAAACAAAGTCTTTTAAAACTTTTTTTTTATATAAATAGCTAATAAAATCTTCAATCTTTCATCGTGCTTCTTCTCTTGAATTTATTTAATAAATCTTCTCCTCCTTTTCGACAATTTTTCCGCGACACATACACCTACGTTAAAGAGTTAAAGACGAACGCATTCGTTACGAGCGAAGTGCTTAAGTTTATAAAGAGTTTCTTCATTTTTTTTCCTATACACAAATGTTTCTTAATAATTCGCGACTAAAATTTGCATCGCATTTTTTTTTATCAATATGGAGCTGGGCAATGTCTTCGCAATTATGTCATGTCGATTGTTGCTTTTCTTTACTTTTCGATTTTTTCTTCTCTAATGCTTTCCCATTTTTTTTTTATCAAACAGTTAATTATGGCTGTGGCAATGATAATGATTATGCGCGATAAAATTCGAGTGGTAGATAATGCACGGTACATACAAGATTAACGAGATAGGTATTTGTGATTCTAGGTCCTAGGAATATTATGAGATACAATGGCAATGATAAAACAACCATTGTCAGGCTCTATTCTTTTTCCATTTTCAAAAATTACTCGATTTTACGTTCCAAAAACAAAATCGAAACGATTTTTTCAATTTTTTCTTCTTCTAACAATATTTTCGTCAATTACAAGTTTTTTTTTGGTTTTTTAATATTATTACTTCGTGCCAATTTCGTTTCTCTTAAAAATACTGTGCGCAATTGTTTTTAGGCAGAATTTATTAAAATTTTTCTATATTCCTCTATTTCTAGGGATATTTAAAATTATTTTTTGTTTAATTAAATTAAAATTGCAACTTTGTTCAAATATATTAAAAATTTTTGCTGAAAATTGCATTATTTTTGGTAAAATTAAAAATTAGCTAATTGGCAAACGTTAAAAATTGCTTTTTTAAAAATTTAGCGTTTTAAAAATAAAAAAAATAAATAAAATAAAAGGAGTAATTAAAATTGCATTAATTTTATTTTTAAAACTAATTTCTATTAAATTAGAGATCAAAACTAATTTTAAAAGGTAATTATATTTAAAATTTAGCTATTCTTTATAAAACAATTTTCTAATTTTTCAAAAATTGAACTGCCTTTTTTCTAAAATTACAATTCGCGGCACTTTTTTTCTTTTCAACAATCGAGCCTGACGTTGGTGGAGAAAATGGTCTTTTTTGCTCGTGTTTTTTTTTTAATATATATTTTTGTCTACTTTTTTTCGTCGTCGACTGATTCGCTTTATTATCATTTTTTTTTGTTCAATAAGAGCGTTAATGATGTTTTATGGTGTTATTACGTTCACTCTGCGGTGTGGCAGTGTTCTGCCTTGTGGCGTTACAAAGTTTAATTTAAATCCTTGAAATTCGGATGTAAACTCTCGCACATCCGAGAAAGAAAAAAATTGCCCCCCTCACGTAGAGAAAAGTTAATCTTCCATTTCGGAAGTTGCCGCGTGTTTGTAGATATTACAGGCGGTATGTGTGTTTTTTTTCTAATGTGTGTATCGAACATGATCGAACCGAAGGTCATCATAAGCCTGTCTTTTTCAACGCCAGAGCCTGAAATTCTCGCTTGCAACATTTACGACTGTAACGTTATATTTTTTTTTCTTTATGGCGTTTGGAAGTTCGTCTTTTCAAAAAGGCGCCTTTTCCTCTTTTTTCCGTTTCTTCTCTTTATCCCTTTTTTTCTCTTTTTTCCGTTTTAGCGCCTTTTTGAAGAGACGACTCCTATTTTCTTTTCGAAAGTTTTCACCTTATACAATTGCATACGATCAAGTTAAAATTTACAGTTTTACAACATCGAGAAATTAGCACGTGTAAAGTATGCGAGTGTATTTTGGGTATAAACGTATTTATTTGTCTTTTCGTTACTGAGAAAAGGCTCTCTTTTTTTTTAAAAATATTTTTACCCCAAATATAGCCCTTGTCAGCAAATCGAATGTAATGATGCTGTCATTATTTTTATGCTAGCATTTCGTCAAACCCCCAATAAAGGGGTGGCGATCGTCGCGTTAGATTTTTCATCACTTTCATGCCCCGTCACATCTAAAATTCTCTAATTCATCCGTCGTTCTAGTTCTTTCTACCTTTCTCACTTGAATATTTTTTTTTTTTACTAACAATTATTGAACCTCTTGAAATTTACAATATTTTACGATTTTGTTGATTTTTCTTTTATTAAAAAATTAAAACGGACGGTTAAATTTCATATATTTTTTTCGTTTTTTTTTATCATTTTTTTTTTCGGTGAGCCGATGTCCGCTGCTGAAGGCACAGGGCTTTGCACTTGACTCGGTCACCTAAATCTAGCTGACTGACTACTACCTTTCTCTCTCTCTTTTTCTCTCTAAAATTAAATCAGCAAGACTAGAGAGAGTCTTTCTCTCTAATCTTGCTGATTTAATTTTACTCTACGAGTACGTCCTTAACTCTCTCTCTCTCTCTAAATTTCTTCGCTTTTCCAAAAAACACAAGCACACACACACTCCGTACACACCTGGGAAATTTCGCAATTTTGTTGTTGTTGAAAGGTCCCCCCCCTCACGTCTTTCTCTTCTCCCTCGGTTTTTTTCTTTTTTTTTCTTTTTTTAATAAACAACGTACATGCTAGCAATATATTATTATGCTATGTGTGTGATAATAGACTCTATCGTATCATTATTTATATCGTATTCGCGCTTAAATTCGTGACTCTCCAAAACACTGCTCAACAGTGTTTTGTACTCACAAGGAAAAAAAAAATTTCTAATCCCTCTTATACCCTAAAATTATCTCGCACACTCTTGTGACTCACATTCTTCTTTTTCTACTCTCACTCGCCTAAAAGTATATCCTTAATAATTAATATACTTTACATATATATATTTATATATCGATATCAGGGGGATCCGATTAGGATATATAGTTTAATATAAATATAAGTATATATATATAACATATATAATATGTATATATATATTATATATATAATATATATGTATAAGTGCAGTCAGCTCCTTATAAAGTCTCTGTACTGTCTCTACTTATCACAGCCTGGGTGCCTCGCCACTGCCCTCTTTTTCTTTTACTTTTACTTTTTAAAAACCCGATTTTTTTTCTCGCTTCCTCTTCTTTCTCGATTCACCGCGAGATGAATTTTTGTTTTTATACACTTGATTGGAGAAAAAAAACTGTTCTTTTTTTTCTCTCTTTCTGTCGTATATATAATTTGAAAAGAAGAAAAGAAATTATGGGAGCGATTATTTTATCGACGACGACGACGATTATACGATGATGATATTATGATGATGCGGAGGCAGTGGCACAATGGTGCACTAGTACAAAAGTCACGTACGCCGCCTCCTTTGGCCAGGACAATTTTTTCTTTTTTTTTTGTGACTGGCTCTCTCGAAAAAAAACATCCCTGAACATCGTCCCAGGGGACGATTTTTGACGCTCTCTCTCTTTCTTCGAAGGTCGTGTTGTGGGCGCGACCTAATTCTTTTTTTCAGCCAACCGGTGCAGGTCCCGGTGACCATAGATCGGGAAACTAGGGCACCACGTCCCAGATCTCGGCGAGGAAAGGTGGCAGCTTCTTGTTCTTGAGCTTCAGGCTGGAACACGTCTCGCTATTTTGATTGCCGAGGGTCCTCAATTCGGTGAGCACTGATAATAATTTTGCGAACATCATACAGGACCTTGGCTTGTGTCGATTGTCCACATAGGCTTTCAATGCCTCGAGGTAGATCTCCTGTATTTTCTCCACTTTCCAACCCTCCAACAAATTCGGTCTCTCTGCAAATAATAATTTTTCGAATATTAGAAATCTTGCTTTTTATCGGAAAGAAAAGAAATTGTTAAAATTGTTAAATTGTTAAATTTAATGTTTGATTGTTAAATTTAATGTTTTATTAAAAATTAAAATACTTTTTTACATGACAAATTTTTCCCTCTCTCTGCAAATCAGTTTTTTTTTTCTGAAAGGAAAACAATTTCAGAGTTGCCAGAAAAATTTAATTTCGTTCTTCTCTGATTTCCAGGGAAATATTTGACTTTTTCCCTGACCCTGAAGAATATTCTGATTCACTCTAAAAATTATTAGATACTCAAAACAATGTTCTATTACATTTATTTACAAATATTTTTAGTATAAAACATGAAGATAACAATCACTACGAGTCTTCGACTCGGAGTTATCATTTTCTTCATGTTTTATAATAATTAAAGATGACCGAGTGATTATTCAGAAAGTCTTTAATTAAATATATTTATTAAAAAATACAAATTTTAAATAATTTCTAAAAAAAATTCAATTTCAATTTTGCAAAAAAATTAATTCTACAGAATTGTTAGTTAAACGTAAGAAAAATTCAAATATTCAAAGATTATAATTCGAAACTTTTACAAAATTCATAATTATTTTTAAAACTTTACCCTATGCTTTTAATAATCCATTATTATTAAAAACTTTAATTGAAATAAATTTTCAAATAAATTTTTATTAGAAAATTCTAAGAGAATTCAATTATTTAAATACAAAAATAAATAATTTATTAAGTAACTGAATGTTTCTCAAAATTGAATTCTTATAAAGAATTTTATCAACAATTTTTTAAACATATAATTAAATTCTTTCTACGAATTTCAATAAAATTTTTAAGAATAATACAATTTTTCGAGGAAGTCAATTAAAGAAAATTGTATTGAAAATTATTGAAATTCTCCAATGAGTTTTATTGTTTATGAAATTAATTAAAATTCCTGTGAAATTTTTATTATCTATGAAAATAATTAAATCCTTGTGTAGAATTTTATTAGAAATTTTTTTAAATAATTGAATTTGTTTGGAATATTTTATTAAAATAGTATATATTGAAAATCATTGAAATAAGGAATTTTTTTTGAAAACAATTAAAATTTTGCTAAGAATTTTATTAAAACTTTTGAAAATAATTGAATTTCAGAATTTTTTATTGAGAATTTCAATTATTTCTCTATAAATCTTAATTATTTAATACGAATTTTCAAATATTCATTTCGAATTTCAATTTTTTGCTACAATTTTCAATTATTTATTTTGAATTTCAATTTTTTGCTACAATTTTCAATTATTTATTTCGAATTTCAATTTTTTTTGCTAAAATTTTCAATTATTTCTTTCGAATTTCAATTTTTTTTGTAATTTTCAATAATTTATTGGGAATTTCAATTATTAAACTGAATTTGTAATTATTTATTATGATTTATGAATTTCATTTATTTTAATGTAATTTTCAATTTTTTATTACGAATTTCAATTTTCTTACTGTTATTTTCAATTGTGTATTACAAATTTAATTTTTTTTGTCGCAACTTTGAATTTTTTCACGAATTCAGTTTTTTTATATAATTTTTAATGCTCATAATCAAATTTCTAATTTTTCAAATTTTTTTCCATTTCTATGTTTCAATTTTTTTACTGTATTTTTTAATTTGTTCACTGCAGTTTTCAATTGTTTTTATTATAAATTTGAATTTTTGTTTGAATTAAATTTGTTATTGGACAAAAAATATTTTTTGGGTCTATGATATAAAAAGTGTTGGATACACTTGAAAAACGGGGTCTTAAATTTATTATAACGTGGAAAATAGAGTTTAATAGAATTAAATATAAAATAATTAAATGTGTGCTTAGAATTTTATTAAAAGATTTTTTTAAATAGGTAATTGAATTCTTTTGGAAAATTTTATTAAAATAGTACAAATTGAAAATCATCGAATTGAGGAAAATTTATGTAAATAATTGAAATTTTGACGAGAATTTTATTAAAATTTTTGAAAATAATTGAATTTCCAAAATTCCAAATTGAAACCTATTGAAGTTCATCTATTTATGAAAATTGTAAACGCAACTCTTTTAGAATTCAATTAATTTTTGAAATATTTATGTAAAATTATTCATTAAATAATTTATAAGTATAATTTTATGATAGTTGTTCAAAAATTAAGTTATTGAAAAAGAAATTATTGTCAGAAATAGAAAAAATTGAAGGTTTTTTTATTTAGAATTCGTGGTAATTTTATAGTTTATAAGGCAAATAAAAAAGACATAAAAATTCCGAATTTTCTTATGAATTCTAAACATTTAGTTTTTCCCAGTACTTTTAATAAAAATCCCTGACTTTTCCCTGAATTCCTTGACTTCCCTGACCTGTGAAAACCCTAAATTTATTTTAATTTTATTAACTTCTGTTACATTTTTTCTTGTTTAATTAATTTTCGTTTCACTTTTTTTCTTTTTGATTTGATTCATTTTTGTTTCATTTTCTCTGATTCCAATAAATTTTGTTACATTTCTTTTTTTGATTTGATTTATTTTTCGTTCAAATTACCTGAGAAGATGACGATGGCTGTGAGTAGAGCGTACTCGGCATTATTGACCTTCATGGAGCACATTTGCCTGCCAAAATGTAAGAGGTCCTCGATTGTGTCGCCCATTCCTGCTAAACTGTAACTGTCGCGTGTGTATGCCTGATTATTCGCAAAGACAATACTGTCCGTTCGGACGTCGTATTTCCTCGCCATTCTCAGCATCATCACCTCGCTCGAGCAGGCTTTTAACAGTGCGATCTGATCTTCGCGCATCAGTTTATCAAAGCCCGGTAACCTTTTGGCAAATTCTACAATCAACTGGACCGTCAATATCGTGATTTCAGTAATGTGCCTATATCTAACGTCACTTGGATCCTCATTGTCCGTCGGTGCATTCTGTAAAAGGAATTCAATTTTCAATTCAAAGAGGCGAATATTATAAAAATACTTGAAACCGAAAATAATTAAATTGGTACTCAAAATAAAATATCGAAAATAATATAAAATACTGAAAATACCGAAAATAAAAAAATACAGAAAACAATAAAATACTGATGAAAATACCCAAAATAGGAAAATACTCAACAAAACAAAAATCTTGAACCAAAAGAAAGATTCGAAAATAAAGAAAAAAACAGTGTCGAATAATTTCAGAGGAAAACTTACAGTAATCCTTTTGAGATCCTCCTCGCTGGGTTGTTCGAATTCATTTTGAAAATAGACGAGCCTGTTTATGAGCTCCTCCTGTTCGGGACTCACGGGCTTGACACCATTTTGGGAACCAATTGTGATACCGGCACTACTGCTACCAGACATTGAGAGTGAATCGCCCTCCGTTGGTTCCAATTTCACTATATGCTCAGTTCCAATTCCAGTGAGACTTCCTGGTGAACCGTTCATCGTTGTACTATTAGGTTTATCCTTCTCCTGAGAAAAAGAAAATTCCCAATTAGTCATTCCGTCATTTCGGCATTGGTCCTATAAAGCTGCCTCAATGTTAAAAACAATGACATGAATTTTTTTGTTTTTTGAGTTTGCAAAAATGATGCTTCATCGAATAAATTGCATTCTAATTGCACAAAAAAATGACAAGACGAAAAGATGAGAAAAATTGTTTTTATTGAAACTATTGATTATTTAGAAAAGCTTTCGAAAAATGAATTAAATTATTTAGAAAATGTACATATAAAAAAGTATTGAAATTAATTTGAAAACGTATTTGAAAAAAAGTATTGAAATTAATTAGAAAAAGTATATTTAAAAATGTATTGAAATTATTTAAAAAAGTATTGAAATTATTTAGAGAGAAAATATTTCAATATTGAGTGAAAAAGTATTTAAATGTTAAATGAAAAAATATTCGAAATATTTAATGAAAAAATATAAAATTGTAAATTGAAAAAACAGAATAATATTTTCAAGTAAATAAATAAAAATAACATTGAATTTTGTAAGGAATACATTAAATTTTGATGATTTTGCTTATAATGGAATAGAAATGAAGTCATGATATTGCAATATCATTAAGACTATAAGGAAAGTGAATGAAAATTTAAAGCTGCAAATTCAAATAGTGCAACTATTTTGTTAGCTATTGTAAGTTATTAATTTCTTAAATTGAATTTTGTAGTTCATGAAATTGAAGTTGGTAATTTTTTATTTTGAACTTTGTAATTTCTTAACTTAAAGTTTATAATTTCTTAAATTGAATTTATTGTTTGTAATAATTTATAATTATTGTATTTCAAAATTTTTGTTTCCAAATTGAATCTTCTGTGTTGAATTAAAATTGTATTTAAAATTCTTTTTTTCGAATTAAATTTATTATAGTAATTTAAAAGTTACAATTAAAAATTCTTTTTTCCAAATTGATTTATTTGTAATAATTAAAAATTGTACTTAAAATTTTCTCCTTCGAATTGAATTTTTGTACTTTCTCTTTGAATATAATTATTTTTCTCAAATCGAATTTTACATTTCCTTTTTTTTAATAAATATTTTGTTTCATACTTTTTTCAAAATTAATTTTCTATTTTCTTTTTTTTACAGTAAATTACTTTTTAATTTTTTCCGAATTGAATTTTCTTTTTAAACAATTTATTACTTTTCAAGTATTAATTTTTCAATTAACTTTCGAAATGAAGCGTTCAACATTTTTTTTTTTTAAATTTTAATCATAAGCGCAACTTTTAGATAGGAAGGCAATACCATTGATTATGATAATTTGTTTCAAGGCCAGGAATCAAAGAATATTTTTACCATAATAAAAACTGAGAATATTACGAAAACAATTCTCTTCTTTCTTCTCTGAATGATATTAAAATATTTTTTAAAAAGAAAAAAAAATACAAAATACAATATTTAAAAAAAATTAAAGAATAAAAAAAGTAATAAAATTCTTTTATCGTTGAAAATTATATCCTATTTTATAGATACTATTATTATTATTCATTTTTTCATTTACAAAATCAAAAAATGTCTCAAGAAAAATTTAACGAATATTAAAAAAAATGTTTCTTTAGTAATAAAATATTTACCCTAAAAATATTTTTGAATAAATAAAGTAGAATAATAAATATTTTATTTTTCGAATTTTAATAAGTAAAAATAAGAATATGAAATATTTTTCCAAATTACAAAAATTTATTCCAAAAAAAACCCAAATCAGAAATCAAAAATCCTATTAAACTTCCAAAAAGAAAAGATTCAGAAAAAGAAGAAAGATACATAAATTTTTCCAAAATTACAAAATTTGTAATAATTTTCTACTCAATCGAAAGGCGTTTTTTTTTCATAAATTTAGTAATAAATTATTCGCTTTTTATTATATATAGAAAAAAGAAAGAGAGAGAGAGAGGTCTTTTAAAAGCCATCAAAATATTTCAAGTGAAATTTCTCTTATTAAACGAATGGGACTTTCAAATGTATATTTTGAATGTTCCATCGTTGCTAGTCAAATAAAAGTTAGATTCGAACCAATCACTTTTCAATGCTTCGTCACAAAACCATTAAAAACTGTTCAGTTCTTTACCTGCCTGAAAAATAAAGGTACACACCCTTTTCAAAATCAAAATACCTTCATCACTTGGCTTTTTAGTTTTTTTTTCATTTTATTTATCGATTTATTTTTTATTTTTGTTTATTTACCATTTTTATTTTTTCCCTCTCTATTTAATTTACCTAATTTTATTTAATATTTTCTATTTCTTTTTTACTTTTTATTTGATTTTTTGATCTCATTTTTATATTATTCATTAAGTTACTTTTCTTTCTTTTATTTTTTTTTAATTATATTTTTGAAATTTTTGTGATCTGAATTTTGTATTGTTGTTTTGAATTTTTTTTATTTCTTTTCTTTTTGAATTTATTTTTTTTTCTTTCCTTCAATTTTGTAAAATATTGCATTTTGTAATTTCTTGTAAATTGAATTTGTTACCTATTTTCTTTTTGCATTTTTTATTTCTTCTCTTGTTTTCATTCTTTTATAATAAAATTTTTTTATATTAAAATTAAATTAAATTAAATTCTTCCTTTTTTACTTTTCTTTTTCGTAAAATTTTCTTCGTAAATTTTTGTCAACTGTGTTTTTAATTTTCTTCTAGAATAATTATTTTTATTTTACTTTTGTATAGAAAAATATTTTTTCTAATGGAGAGCAAAAATTTTTTCTTGGAGAATAATTGTTTTCTTCGAGGACAAAATTTTGATTTGAAGTAAGAATGTTTTTCTTCGAGAACAAAATTTTGATTTGAAGGAAAAATGTTTTTCTTCGAGAACAAAATTTTGTTTTAAAGGAAAAATTGTTTTCCTTAAGAACAAAAATTTTGATTTGAAGGAAAAATGTTTTTCTTCGAGAACAAAATTTCGATATTTATTAAATAAAAAATATTCTTCCTCTTGATAAGAAAATTTTTATTTTTATGAAAAATGTGAAAAATTGATTTCTGGCCTTGTAAAGCAATGAAAGAAAAGCGATATGTCCTTACCCCTACCTTCTGGGCCTTTTTCTCTTTGCGCTTCACTGCGCATTGATACTCAGGAACCACACATTCTGGTCTCATACCAACGGTAAGGCATTTCTTTAATCGGCACTCCTGGCACTTGCGACGCATGTACATGTCAATTTCACAATTGTTTCCATACTTGCACTGATAAACCGCATTCTTCGTGATACTCCGACGGAAGAAGCCTTTACAACCTTCGCAGGTGAGGGCATTGTAATGATAACCCGACGCCCTATCACCGCAAACCAAACAGAGCTCTTCCTGTTGCCTAGGAGTTGGGCCTTTCTTCTTTTTCGCATCGCAACTGTCCGCACTGTAGCCGTTCAGCGAACTCGGAGGCGACAAATCGTCCCTTCCTGAAAGCACAAAAAAAATTCATATTTAATACAAATTTCAATTAATATACAATAATTTTCAATATTTAACAGTGAATTTCAATTATTTTTGGCGAAATTCAATTCTTTACTACGAATTTCAATTTTATGCAGTCATTTTCAATTACCTATTTCGAATTTCAATTTTTTGCTTCAATTCAATTTTTTGTTACCATTTTAAATTAATTATTATACATTTCAATTTTTTGCTGTAATTTTCAATTACTTCTTTCGAATTTCAATTTTTTGCTGTAATTTTCAATTATTTATTACGAATTTCAATTTTTTATTATAATTTTCAATTATTAATTTCGAATTTCAATTTTTTACTGTAATTTTCAATTATTTATTACGAAGTTAAGTTTTTTTGCTATAAATTTCAATTATTCCTTTCGAATTTCAATTTTTACTGTAATTTTTAATTATTTATCATGAATTTTAATTTTTTGATCTAATTTTCAATTATTTATTACGAATTTCAATTTTTTGATCTAATTTTCAATTATTTATTACGAATTTCAATTTTTTGATCTAATTTTCAATTATTTATTACGAATTAAAATTTTTTGCTGTTTTTTCAATTATTTTACACTTGTTTTAAAACTTTAATACAAATTTCAATTTTTTTCTCTAATTTTCAAATATTTATTTCAATTTTTTGTTACAATTTTCAATTATTTATTACGAATATCAATTACTTTACACTTGTTTCCAAAATTTAATACGAATTATTATTATATAATACGAAATTCAATTATTTTACTCTAATTTCTAATCGTCAATACAAATCTCAATATCTTGCTGTAATTTTCAATTATTTATTTTGAATTTCAACGAATTTTAACGTGTTTGAATTTATTGCTATAATTTTCAATTATTTATTGCAAATTTTAATTATTTTTCTGTAATTTTAAATGATATATTACGAATTTCTATTATTGAACATGAATTTCTAATTTTTAATACGAATTTCAATTATCTTACTGTAATTTTTAAATACTTATTACAAATTTTAATTTTTTACTCTAATTTCGAATCTTTAATACAAATCTCAATTTCTTGCTGTAATTTTCAATTCTTTATTTTGAATTTCAATTATTTTATTATATAATACTTAATACGAAATTGAATTTCCTATTGTAATTTTCATAAAATTATTACGAATATCGAGAATTTTTCTGCAATTTAACATTATTTATTGTGAATTTCAATTATTTTACCAATTTGGTATCGTATACACGAATTTCAATTTTTCGCTGAAATTTTCAATTATTCATTATAAACATTATCTTTTTGATGTAATATTCAATTATTTACAACGAATTTAGATTATTTTTCTGTAATTTTCAATTATTTATTACGAATTTCAATTTTTTGCTGTCATTTTCAATTACTTATTTCAAATTTCAATTTTTTTGTTGTAATTTTTAATTATTTATTTTGAATTTCGAGTAGTTTTCACTACTTTTTTTATTTATTTATTATCAGTTTCAATTATTTATTGCTGCAATTTCGAATCCTTAACACGAGTTTTAAATTTTTTACTTTGCTATAATTTTCAATTGCATTTTGCGAATTTCAATTATTCTTCTGTAACTTTCAATAATTTATTACGAAATTCAACTATTTTTCTGTAATTTTCAATTATTTACTGCGAAATTCAATTATTTAACTGTAATTTTCAATTATTTACTATGAATTTCAATTTTTATACTGCGTAATTTTCAATTTTTTATTAGGTAGGAATTTAATTTTTCTGATTGCAATTTTCAATTTTTTTTAAGAATTTAATTTTTCTTGATATAATTTTCTATTTTCTTTACGAATTTCAAATTTTTCTTGTAATTTTCAATTTATTTACTTCATTCTTTAATTTTTTTACCGTAATTTTCAATTGTTTTTACTATAATTTTCAAATTTTGTTTAAAACAAATTCGTTGTCGGACAAAATATATTTTTTGATTCTATGTTATAAAAAGCGTTTGCCACACTTGAAAAACAGGGTCTTAAATTTATTTTACCGTGGAAAATAGAGTATAATAGAATTAGGAATTTAGGTCATTCGGTTGAGGTCCCCCCTGATATTTTTTTTTTGTTAGCTCGGTTTTTTTGATTGAGAGCGGAGATGTTCACTTTTTTACGATGTGAAAAACCTTTCTTGAAAGGTTTTGTTTTCCCGTACTTTCTATTGTTAGAAAAAATATATTTTTTATTTTTCTTACTTTCACATAAATTATATATATAAATAATATAATTTAATATTTGACAATCTGATATAAATTATATGATTTAATATATAATAATATAATTATAAATAATACAATAATTAGTATATTTGTAAATAAATAAATAAATAAATAAATAATATTAACAATTTTCCACTAAAAATTAATATAAACATATATTATAAATTTTTATGTATTGATTGAAATTATTTTTTTAATAATTCATTAAAATTGATATCTACTGATTTCTTCAACAATCATATTTAGGAAACAAATATTAAAATTTCCAAAAATTTCCGTGACTGATTCAAAATTTACCGCGTTTTTTTATAACAGTTGCACCGTTTGAGAGAAATTAAAGGAATTAAAGGAACTTACAACGAAGAAAAATAAAAAATAATAAATAAAGATAAATAAATAAAACGTTCTCAATAGGTTTAATACTGAGAAATAAATAAATAGGTTTAATATTAAACCTATATTGAGAACGTTACTAAAATTCTGTTTTACTCTAAATCTAAAATACTGATCTAAAAAAATAAACCAACAAAAATCTAAAGACCCACTGAAAAAAAGATATATTTCGACTCAAATAAATTATATTTTGATTCAAATAAAACATTTCTCAGGGTGAATTAAATTAAAAAATTTAAAACAAAAAAAAAAGAAATAAAATACGAGTGCAGTATTTTTAAAACAAAAAAAAGTGAGTTTGCGTGTTCAGCAACAAAGGATATATAGAAGCAATATTTCATCTTGAGTAGAATCAACATTTTAACGACTGTTTTATGTTCATCTTAAAGATTTTTGCACCTTGGAAGTTGCCAATGGTTTATGAAGATCGAAAAGCTCCAGATATTTCACAATCATTGCAATAAAATACACGAATGTTAACATATTTCAAATTATTTTCCTACTAAACAACACTATAAAATATTGGAATTTTCATCTTCAACGCTTATATTTGCCAGTGTATAAATATTCCAAACGTTGGGGGCAAAATTTGTGATAAAAAAAAATTTCTTTTGATCAAAAGAATTTTTTTTTTAATTTAAAATTAATAATTTTTAGTTAATACTTTCGCTATTTCAGAAAAGCTTATCACTGTTCCAGGAGAAAATTTTTCCCGTGTATAATTATAAAAAAATTAATAAACAGAATACTTTGGGTTGCGTATTGTGAGTGTAATTGTTGGAAATTAATTCTTGTACACAATGGTAATAATAGCACCCGTGATAAATATTAATATTTTGGATCCTCCTGAGATATATATTCTTTCTTGAGCCACACGAAGGGCACTAACATCACACGAACTTTAATTGGCCGGAGATAAGAGAAGAAGAAGAATAATAAAGAACGGAAGTTTCATGAGGCCAGAACGGAACAGGTTCTTCAGTCATTTTATAATTTTATCCCTAGGGCCTAGGTTATTACTCTCCCTTCTTTATATATATACCTTCAAAGCAAACATTCAAGTTCCAGACTTGCATCACAGAAAGACATCACTGACGTAAGGATTAATGGAAACTTCCCAAAGATATTTCATGTTGCATCCACATTTATACAATAACGAATACACTATTTGTTGCGATTAATTAAAATTACATTTTTCGAATACTTGGCAACCTTTAATACGAATTTCAAATATTTGCTACAATTTCCAATTATTTATTTCAAATTTCAATTTTTTACTGTAATTTTCAATTATTTATTTTACGAATTTCCATTTTTTGCTATAATTCTCAATTATTTATTACGAATTTCAATTTTTTCGGTAATTTTCAATTATTTTTTGCTAAAATAAATTTTTTGTTACAATTTTCAATTATTTTACACTTGTTTTCAAACTTTAATACGAATTTCAATTTTTTGCTCTAATATTCAATTACTTATACTTGGCAACCTTCAAATTTTTGGTTCAATTTCCAATTATTTATTTCGAATTTCAATTTTTTACTGTAATTTACAATTATTCATCACGAATTTCAATTTTTTGCTATAATTTACAATTATTTATTACAAATTTCAATAATTTTTTGCGAAATTCAATTTTTGTTACAATTTTCAATTATTTATTACGAATTTCAATTATTTTACACTTGCATCCAAACATTAATACGAATTTCAATTTTTTGATATAATTTTCAATTATTTATTTCGAATTTCAATTTTTTACTGTAATTTTCAATTATTTATCACGAATTTCAATTTTTTGATATAATTTACAATTATTTATTACGAATTTCAATAATTTTTTGCGAAATTCAATTTTTGTTACAATTTTCAATTATTTATTACGAATTTCAATTATTTTACACTTGCATCCAAACATTAATACGAATTTCAATTTTTTGATATAATTTTCAATTATTTATTTCGAATTTCAATTTTTTACTGTAATTTTCAATTATTTATCACGAATTTCAATTTTTTGATATAATTTACAATTATTTATTACGAATTTCAATAATTTTTTGCGAAATTCAATTTTTGTTACAATTTTCAATTATTTATTACGAATTTCAATTATTTTACACTTGCATCCAAACATTAATACGAATTTCAATTTTTTGATATAATTTTCAATTATTTATTTCGAATTTCAATTTTTTACTGTAATTTTCAATTATTTATCACGAATTTCAATTTTTTGATATAAATTTCAATTATTTATTTCGAATTTCAATTTTTTTTTACAATTTTCAATTATTTATTTCAATTTTTTTCTGTAATTTTCATTTATTTATTACGAATATT